CTGGAAGAGGAAGGGCCAAGAGAATGAGGTTGGGTATGCACTATGCATGATAAGACAAACACATGGAATATGGAATATATAGCCCAAGCATTTGAAAACATTGAAAGAGACCCACACAGAGACATGTTGACCGGATATAAGGTGATTACTATCTTAATATTCCTTAACCCACCACACGATTACACGAGAGAGAGAGAGAGAGAGAGAGAGAGAGAGATTTATAATTCTTTATTTACATAGAGAAAGTAGTAGAATGAGGTTGAAAATTTCCAATTCCCGGAGAATCTAGAGCGCATCAGGCGCTGACCATGGCTTTGGAAAACTATTAACAAATGATTAACGTTTTCTACTCATCTTCTTCTTCTTTCTCTCTCATCCATCGCATAAAAAAATGGTCATAAATTCAAGCTGTTCAATACCATGGGGAGCACAGCGTAATTAAAAAAATGAATGCCAGCATTCATTCCGGTAGGAAAAATAAGAACAAGAGGAGAGAACAAAGCAGAACCTATCAACTGGACCGGCTCACGTGCATAACTCACGTGATATAGCCTTGTCGACGCCGGAGAATGTGGGTGGTCTTTTCTGGTGGTGATATACACGCATCGGTTGGGCCCTTCTCTCCCATACATTTCTCCTTCAATTTCTTTCTTGGTGGATCATCCACCATTACGGGGAAGTTAAATGAGTCCCACTTAAATACATAAGTAATTTTACAAGAATAAAATTAACAAGAAAATACTATATTGGAAGAGCCATGGACAAAGCTACCATTAACATTAGCTATGTATTTTTTTTACATAAAATTTAAATATATTTAATTGTGTTCACCTAATTATTGTGTTCTTGTGATATGAATTAGAATAAAAAATTTATACCTAAATGATTACTAACTTTTGACCAATGCAATAAGAACCTAATTTCAGTACTTAATATACTGTGACATTAAGTTTAATAGTGAGTCTCAAAATTTAATAAAGTCCACTATCCATACGATGGATTCAATTCGGACATTTTTGAATAAATTTTGGACATTTTAAAGGTATTTTGTAATTTTCTAAAATTATTTGATTATTATATAGAAATAAGTGTCATTATGTAAGAATCTACATAGTCACAAAATGGAAGATTGTTATCATGATTTTATATATAGAAAAAAAAATATTGTTGATGGCATTGATTTGTAACGCTTTCAAAAGATAAAAAAAATTTATCAAAGTCAATTCTAAATGATAATAATTAGTCTTAATTTTTGTACCAAATTATAAGTAATTTCTTTTTTATTCTTATGTACACGCAATATAGATCAATTTTTAATTTTTTATGTTTAATAAACTTTGAAGTTTTTAAATATGATTTCAACAAATATGAATTTACGAATTTCTATGATCAATTACAAAAATATATAACTTATTAATATGCCCACTCAAAATTACTCCCTCCATTCCTAAATATTTATTGTTTAAGGTTTTTGCACAGAGATTAAAGAATCTATTAAATAGCTCTAATATGAATAAAAAATAATTGCATAAAACTAAAATACTATTATTCAATACGTATTAGGAAGGAAATGGATATGAAAGGTACTTAGCCTACACTTATTGGAAAACATAGATAAGGATAAATTTGGGGAAAAAAATAATAATTATGCTTTGGTTTCATTAAACGACAGATATTGTGGAACAAAAATAATTGTATAAAACGACAGATATTTAAGAACGGAAGAAGTAATTTTCTGGCTCCGCCTCTAGGAAGAGCACTCTAAACTAAAAAAAAATATTTATTATAACAGTGACACTATTTCATCATCAATACATGACATCTCTATCTAACAAAAATGTAACAAGTAAGTAAAAGAATTTCACATATTTTAGTAATCATCTCTCCATATCATTTAGTAACCACTTCATATAAAAAAAAATAGGATCTATTTATTTTTTATTAAATGATGATACCTCATAACATTAATAATGTGATTTAATTGTTGTATTGAATATTTATGGATAGGTGGATTAGAGCAAGACCTAAGAATATTTGGACACGGAGAGGGAATATTGGTGTCGAGATGAGGCATTTGAATAGTCAAAGGGCTCGGCTTTGAATTGTAGACTTCTTTACAAGTTACAACCACCCCAAACCCCCTTGTGCTCACGCGCCACCCGATTATTTCAATATCTCCCCATTTGTTCATTTTTCGTATGAATTTTCCTTGACGGACGCGTGATTAATATGCGCGTAGCCGAGCATAGGTGCAACTTAAATACAGGTGGACAACGGTCAGTTGCATGTGGGTCTGAAGCCTAAATGTCGCCGGACACATTGTGACACCTTCGCTACCCACATATTCCGGATTGAAAAATGTTATTTGAAATTAATTTTTTGTTAATATTTGATTAGTTATAATTAATTTTTATCATGGAATTAATAGTGAAATTCACTATTAGTTAACAACTTTTATTAATTCAATAATTATAATATATTGGGTCATTAAATAAGATTAATAAATTCATTCCGTAGATCTTTATTTCTCACGTGTCCACATGGTCACTAAGCCTTGTGGGAGGGATTATTGATTCGACTTGATAGGACGATAAAATTTTCAAATATTCTCCTCATAACAATACATACTTTTGTACTTCTTCGCATAGTATTTTGTTTATTAATGAACTATGTGATATATTTGACTGAAGAAAAATAATTTTAATTTAAAATTTTTATTTCACCAATTATACGATTAACCCAAAGTTATGAAGCACGAATACTTTGTTGAGGTTGACGTATCAATATCGAATACGATACTCGTCGGATATTCGAAAATACGTATCGAATATTCGATGATACGAATCAGATACACCTTCTACGTATCCGATAATAATTAAATATTATGATACTTCACGGATACTTTTATAGTTGAGCAACATGTATAATTTTTTAATTGAACTTTTAACATCTATTTTTGAATTCATATATCATACAATACATTAACAAAAAATTCATATTACTTCAAAGACACATGAGTGTTTTGTAAGTATTTACCCTTCTTTCGAAATTGGTGGAATATATAATAATAATCACGTAATTTGTTTGGGTCGAACTTAATATAACCAATTAAGGAAGATCTGTTTCCAAAACACTCATGCTTCACATTGAAAAGAGCCTAATAAGGGAAGCCTTAAAGTTTTATAACTTAAATAATATCTTAGTTTCGGAGTAAATTATTATATTTAATCAGACGGAGAAAGTGATTAATGAAAGTGCACATAAATTTGTCCAAATACTCTACACTATTGAACAAAAAAAAAAGATAAATATTTTGTCTGCTACTAAATTCCTTTTTCATGATTTTTTTTTTTTTGGGAATATACGGATTTTAGAATAACAAAGAGAGCTAAAACAAAAATCTGATGAGAAATTTAAATGGGTCACTATCCATCAACACTGTGTGAGAGAGCAAGATAGAGAGTGAGACACTGAGTGAGAGACTCAGGGATCGTTTGATAACGTTTTTATTTTCGCGTTTTCAAAAAAGTAAAAAACAGAGACAATTTTTTCTCTCTGTTTTGTGTTAAACACTGAAACAAAAACATGTTTGGTAGCTACTTCAAGTTATATTATAATTATTAGTTTTATAATATTTCCTACTATAAAATACAAATCAAAACTCATAATTCATTAACCATAGCAAATAACTTAGACGAATATTCCAAGACACCACACTTTACATACATCATTGCTATAGATACATTTTTTTTTAAAGAAAGAGGAATTTTATTGAATGAATCAAAAAATTACAAGAATCAAAGAAAAAAAACAATTTACATCACATATATGGCTTTAATCCATCAAAACACCCAAAAGCCAAGAAAATTACTTCAGTGTTCCTTCGAATACAGCAACTTCACAGCACCTAGATCAGCCAGATTTCAAACTCATTACTCAACCCTTATCATCACACACAAAGACCTTTTTGACTCTTAGAACAGGCAAACCCCTAAGGTCCTGCAACAAAGTCATTTAACTGGGCATGCACACAGGACCAGAAAAATCAAAGCAGTTCACTTTTGGTACAATTGTTGCAACCGTAACAATTCCTACTCCATCCAAACAATCAAAGTAGTTCACTTGTGGTTAATTGCAACTTCAATTTGGGGGGTATGGATTGTAGTGCTGGAATGATACCCAATTTGTTGTTTCGAGTTGGTGGCACTGTGATTTTGCTAGAATGATACCCAATTGATTTTGTTGTCAAACATTTCATCGAATAGGTGGAGAGCAAGTTGACATTTATGAAAACACCCAATTCATACACATACACAAGCCCAACTCATAATCACACACTAAGAACACACACAGATACACAAAAGTAAACATAACATACGATAACACACACACAACCCCCACAAATCGACACACAGCCCCACAATCTAACTCAAACAAGAGAATGGCTGAGAAAGACTTTTGGGTCTTCGTTGCACAAACAAGAGAGAGACCTTCTGTCTTTGTTACAAAAAGAGAGGTGAGAGATAGATCGGACGAGTCTTGTTGCACAGACAAAGAAGTGAGAGAGAGGAGATGGAGAATGAACTGAGAGTCTCGATGCACAGAAGAGGGGAGAGAATTAAATGGGTTTTTATACTTTAATAATATGTTTTGCTGCTAAGAAGAGTCGAAGCTTGAATTCCCTTATTTCTTAAAACACATTTTTTTTTATTTTCATTTTTTTGTCTTTGTTTCTAAATAACTAATATAAAACAAAAACAAAAATAATTATTAAACATATTTTTATTTTTATTTTTAAACAAAAATTAAAAATAAAAACATAAAACAAAAGACAAGGACGACAAACAAAAAGCCCCACAATTCCCAGCCTATTATTATTCCATTGAACAGTACTCCTTTTGTTTTCACGAATTCCAACCATTCCTTGCAGAAAATCACCATTATATTTCTACACCTTTTTCATTCATTCCCCATTAGAAAGATAGAGAAAACAGACCTCTCTCTCTCTCTCTCTCTCTCTCTCTCTCCTTTTCACTAACTTTTCCTTTGTAGCTTCATCCCCAAAAACGCTCTGTTTTTCTTCCTCTTTTCCGCAATTCTTTTTTCTTACCAGTTGTAGTAGTCTCTGCAACTCTTTCAATTCCCTGCACACTTTCTTTTGATTCTTTAATCCGCTGTATCAACCCTAGAGAGGTATCTTATTAAAAGCCTCTCTCTCTCTCTCTCTCTCTCCAGCCATGCAAATCATAAGACACTCATGATATAATCACAACTCAAGCCCACCCTTTGCGGCTCTCCTTCATTTCCCATACTTCAAGGTGCTGAATATTTTCCTTTTTTGTATCACATCACAACCCTCTTTCTATCTTTGAAAACCATCTCTCTCTCTTTCATTTCTTGTTATCTTTGGCAGATTTCGTCTCCTCCATTTTACTGTTCCTAAGCTCAAACCCAATGAGAAGCCCAGCTTTAGCTTTGCCTGATCTTTCATTACAGATCAGCCCTCCATTCATTCCAGACTATGAGTTTAAAGAAATGGTCTCCGATGGATTTATGAGAAAATCAACCTACAGTGACCGGAGCTCCACAACTGATTCCGGTACTAGCGGTAGTGATTTAAGCCATGAAAATGGAATATTGTTCCACCCAGAAAGATCTTTCCTTTCTGCTCCTTTCGAACCCACTTTGAGTTTAGGCTTTAAAACGGCATCTTTGAATCCTCTACCTTCAGAACCACCCAGAATCCTTCGGCATCACCACCATTACCAACCTCACATTTATGGTCGTGAGTTCAAGAGAGGTTCAAGAATGATCGCTGGGGTAAAAAGGAGCGTTAGAGCTCCTAGAATGAGATGGACTTCAACTCTTCATGCCCATTTTGTTCACGCAGTTCAGCTTCTTGGCGGCCATGAAAGTATGTTAAAAAAAATCAAAAATTTTCTCAACTTATCAGAAAATTCATGTTTATCTTGATTCAAATTTATACAACGCAAGTTTAAATCTTCTATCGTGTTTGAATCTCATAACGGGTCATTAATATTAGGTTTATCGATTGTTCTCATTTGTCACAGGAGCAACTCCAAAATCAGTTCTTGAGTTAATGAATGTGAAGGATCTAACCCTAGCTCATGTGAAGAGTCACTTGCAGGTTGGTGTACTGTTTTTGAAATCACTACTAGTTTGAACTTGTGTGGAAAATGCACAATTGTTCTGATTTTCATGGTTGTTTTTGTACTTTTATCGTCTCTTGTGATTCGTGTGTCTATGTGTTTTTTTTTTTTTTTGGGGGGGGGGGGGGGGGGGGATGGAGTCGTACAAGGGTAAGGACTAAGGACTAAGGACTAAGGACAAAATGGCATCTTGTGAGTAATCTTAGCAATGTGGACTTTTTCTAATCCTTTTTTTCTGTGGGTACTCTTGCAGATGTATAGAACAGTGAAGAGCACTGACAAAGGAACAGGTATTTGGAATTTCTCTTTAAGGACCCAATTTCTACTTCTTTTCAATCCCAACATAGTCTTTATTGTGAACTCACTGATCTAAGGGTGGAAACTCTTTTATCTTTTGATGATCTACTGTTTTCAACTATAAACATAATGGTTAGGATTGGACTGACTTAGCCACTTAAAGTTCATGTGTGAATAATTTTCTGGGTGTCTGATAAAGCAAGAGCAATGGCTCTGTCATTTATAAATGTTGCAGGTCAAGAGCAGACAGATTCTGGTTTGAATCAAAGGACAGATATAATTCAAGTTGATGAGGTCGGGTTATCTTTGGAGAAGGCTGACCCTGCTTGTTCTATCAAACCATTACCATCATTTCCACCAACTACACTTCAAAAAGCCCAAATGTGAGTGAATCTGAATTCTCTCTCTCTCTCTCTCTCTCTCTCTCTCTCTCTCTCTCTCTCTCTCTCTCTCTCCACAATTACAACTTGAAAGAATATAGATACTGATTTACATGAAGGCATCTAATCTAATCAATGCAGAAGGCAGACATACACACACACAAATGCCTTGCCTGTGTGCTGTGGAATTTTTTGGTCCAACATGGTGTCTTTCTTTGTTAATGGTGAAGTTAATGGCACCACTTTCCTAGGTTTTCAACCACATTGATTTTGATGAAAATGGGTTAGGGTTAGGGTTAGTGGATCGAAGGGGTGATTTTAGGTGTGCCATCCCATTACAAGTTGGAAACCCTTAAGACCTTAGATTAGATAGTGAATGAACGGATCTCAAGGAGGTATAAAAGTCAAGGGCTCGGGTAGAATCTCAATGCAGTTTATAGTAAAAACATATACGTATGGCGCCACTTGTTAGATAGTAGGTTTGTACCCGTAGTTAACTGAGAATTAATGTCCAATGCTGGCTGGACTTTGTTGACTTCATTCCTGGACGGCTCTTGCCCTATAGATAATCCATCGAAGACAGGTCTGGGTTTTAATTACCATATCTAAATTTTAAACAGAGGGACTTGTTCCATCCGAATGTACAAAATGAGTTCGATAAAAAATCTTGTTTGATCTGATAACATAACTAGCTTGTTTGCTATGTCTGTGGCCTTTGTCCTATGAAAGAATAAAGCTGAATACATAGAATGTGACTCGAACAGTTAAATATCGAGCCTGCTAAGGTTTGGACTACATCTTTGTTTTCTATGTATAGTTTATGTACGGAATAATTTCTACAATGATAGTAATTTTCAAATTGGCGAACTTAAAACAACAGAGGGGGTCAGGCGAACGAAATTTAAGTCAGTATAAGGTCGATGAGTTTTTGCTCAAAAGACTATTTTTCTGCTTCGAGTTTGCATACTTTTGTTTATTTTTCTGAGGAGTATTTATACTTGAATTAACAATGATTGTCAAAGATCATCAGTCTCATCTAGACATCTTACATCTGACACACCATTCCTCGTGCAATGAGTGTTTTATATTCACGTCTCCTCCTATTGAATGCCAGGAAAATGAGGTAAATGCTCGGCCAAATGACGAGCATTTATGCCACTCTCCGAGTACCCAAATTTCTTAGATCGGCATCCGACATCAACTGAGTATTGAATACTTGGGGAAACAGTTCCTCGGGGGAGTCGATCGCGTCGTCTCGGCGCGTCAGTCATTAATGCTTAGCCATCATGACAGTAGACTTAAACT